CACGCAATATATTGATACTATTTGAACTTGCATATCATAAGAGATGCATCATACAGGTTTCGTATTCAGAAATATATACCAGGTATCAAAATTGTATTAAATGTAATTGACCTTAATATATTTTTTTTCCTAAGCAGAAACGTTTCTTTTCATTAATTTTGGGATTTAGCCGACCTCCAACCTTTGAAACTTTCCTTTGTGTACACATTCGAGTGTGTGAAAGTATGAGAATACATGAAAATTCGACTTAATTCGAATTTCATGGTAACGTACATTTCTTACATTTCAAATGATCACTTTTCATGTAAAAAATAATTTTTAATTGTGTTAAGCAAAACGTCTTTGCCAGTTTAGCAATGCTTTTTGGAAGAATCACATTTCTTTCTTATCTCTATTTGTTTTTTCCGTAAACATAAAATTGCTCAAATTGTTCAATTTCATGTTACATTATCTAAGTAGCAGTAATTAATCTATTGAAATTTCAAATTTAGCCCATCAATAAATAAAGGAGAACAAAACTATCAGGTGTATAATCTTTGTGTTTGCTTGTAATGTGGTTGAAATGGAATTAAGCGACAGGGACATTGCACAATAAAAATTATTTATTATCACAAAGAAAATGTATTTATTGTTATGAAAAGAAATATATGTGATACAAGGTTTAACTTATCAGAAAATTTTTACTTAAGAATCAAAACTATATATTACACAGAGGGGATTGAATAACATTTGAATTTTTCAAATAGGCTACTATATTTGAATTTGGAACAAATACCCTTTCAGATCGATAATTATATGAATTCTTATTCATTGTTATATGACTATTTAAAATGTTGATTTAGAAATTACATCAGAGGTATTTCTTTTAAATGAAAATGAGGCGACATTATTTGAGCCCTTATATTGAGAATGGGTGTGGTAAGGATTTATTGGTTGGCAAGATCATGATCACTTAGCCACTTGAAGCAATGCTTCTTTTCATTAATTTTTTCTAAAATAAAATTCAAACTCTAAGGTACCATGTTCAAATCTAAAACAATGGAATCGACAAATTTAGTGATTTACAAGACATATAAGATTTGTTAATTTGTATTTGTTTTAAATTTGTGACGTTGTGACGTTGAAAATGAAATTTCATGTCGTAAAAAATTTAATCATTATGTTATTTTATATTTAATGCAATATTATTATCTACGTAATTGACGTTCATGTTAATATATATCTTTTTACTCGGATTAAAAAGTAAAGAATTTAGAAAATCAAAGTTAAGCCTTGTTCTGTCTACAAAACTATATAATAATAATAAACAAGGCCTCTCCTTTCAATAATTCTGGGTAAGAATAATATACCACCAACCATATTACTTCAAAAAATTATCCAATTGCCATCTCTATTCATGATTTATATTATTCCTAAACATATTTACAGCATCAACTTATGAACATGGGATATATCTTACATTTATTTTTAATTTGTGCATTACAGGTTGTGTACTTTACCGCCACTTTCCCCTATGTTGTGTTAATTATTCTCCTGATCAGAGGTGTAACTTTGGATGGTTATTACGATGGAATACTCTTCTACATCATTCCAAAATGGGAGGAAATTAGCAAACCAAAGGTAGTCATTTAACTTTGACTGTTTAAATGGTAGTCAATAGCTATCAACAAGCACATTTTGCGTCTAAAACATCTTGCTCTTTGACTTTATATAGGTATGGGGAGATGCAGCAACCCAGATTTTCTATTCTTTGGGTGTAGCCTTTGGAGGATTGCTAACTATGGCCAGTTACAACAAATTCAAAAATAATACTCTCAGGTAAATATTCACATCCAATTCACTAGAAACTCCTTCATTGATCCTTTTAATATTACAAACAGCTAGAATTTTGTGATACTATTCTATTTCAGAGATTCCCTGATCGTGTCCTTAATCAACTGTTGTACCAGTGTCTTTGCCGGCTTTGCCATATTCTCATTGCTTGGCCACATGGCTTACATCACAAACAGAAAAGTTGAAGAGGTAGCAGATTCAGGTAAAAATCTTCAAATTCAATAAAGGATGATTAGTTCATTTCTGCAAATGACATTCCCCAGTTCAATTCAAAACTTGACTATAATTTTTATTTCTTTTTGCTAGGACCTGGTCTTGCCTTTGTTGCTTATCCTGAGGGAATTGCCAAATTAGCAGACCCATGGCCACCAATTGTTGCATTCCTCTTCTTTTTCATGATTTTCACCCTTGGACTTGACAGTCAGGTAAAGACAAAAGCAGTGTTGTGGTACTGTGAGAGCAATTTTTCTAAGAAATTACGTTCAAACGCTTTCTTCGTCCGAATACAATCAGTATAATATCATTTCCTGTAAATCATCAGTGCATTTAAATTTGACAGTTTGCAATGATGGAGACAGTCATCAGTGGCCTGTCAGATGTCTTTCCTCGCATCCTGAGAAGACACAAGACTCTTTTTACCTTTGCAGCATGTATGGTTGGATTTGTATTGGGAATTCCACAAGTCTGTAAGGTACAGATCTTTTCTCTTCAAAATACCAACTTAGAAATTGAAGTTTATTAATAAACTTGCATAATTTCTTTGACACCTTATACATAATGTAGGAAAATATCAGATTATCGGTATATTTCTTTTGCTAGGGAGGAATTTATGTGTTGACATTAATGGATTGGTACTCAGGAAGTTACAACCTGATGATAGTCAGCTTGTGTGAATTAGTAGCCGTATGCTATGTATATGGTAAGTTGTGCAATTTGATATTCGTTTTGGTAAAGTATTGTTTCAGTGTGTTAAATCTTAGCACTGAGGATTTAAAAAAAAACTGTTTAGCATAATTATTTAAAGTTTTTGAATGATCTGTTAAATAATCGTGAACTATTTCTTTCTATTCATTCACAGGTGTAAACAACTTCAGGAAGGATATAGAAATGATGCTGGGTGGATTCCCCGGAGTTTTCTGGGTATACTGGTTTGTGACTTGGTGCTTCATCACACCAGTTGCGATTGTCGTAAGTAGTAGCAAAATCTTGTTATTTTCAAAATAATATTTCAATTGATCACTAGTATATTGTTCTCTCATATGATATCCCATATAGTTTAAAGATTTTGATATGAACAACTTATCAATTTATGTTGCAGTTTATTGTGATTATGTCCGGCATTACATATGCTCCTGCATACTACTCCAAATACGAAGGCAAATACATCTTCCCATCCTTTGCTGAGGGTCTTGGCTGGCTTATGGTAGTATCACCACTGGCATTGATAGTGGGAGGAATGATTGTCCAGAGTATCCGATATGGTGGTGTAAGTTTAATAATTCAGTCTTAATTGAAATAATAAATTCATCTGGACTATGTTCATATGTCATGCTGCATCATTGAGATTTTCCCCATTAATTCTATTGGAACTTTCGTGTTTTAAGATATGATTTGTATTTCCTTATGTTAGATTGTAAAGGCTTTAAAACCTGAGGAAAGTTGGGGACCAGCTTTGGACGAAGACAGAATTGGTAGATACTCTCCACGACATGCTGCAGAATTTGGCAAGGATGGACCAGGGCCTCAGGGGGCAACTAACATGGGATATGTCAATGAAAAGAGCAAACCTTACGTTGTCGAAGGTGAAAAAAATGGTTATGATCAAAGACTGTGAAAAAGAGGACAAAAATTATAGCCATTTAGTGATCATCTCAATATTTTAGAAACTTTACTTTCCCCCTTTTATATTGCTTTTGTTTTCCCGCCTTTTATATACGATAGTTTATCCTTTATATGTTGTGATATTATATCTTTGAAATAAGCATATTAATAGGGTTTTAGTTTTCTTTTAGAATGAGATGACTCAAAGTCAAGTGATTCAAAACTTCGCAAAACATCGTATAACTAGTAAAAAAAAATTCCCCAGTTCACAATTAATTCTATGGTAGTAAATGAAGCTGTGATCGATTTTTTTTAAATATGCAAAACATAGAAATCCTATTGGCATTGCATTATTGTGACTGGTTAACTGTTCTAAAAACTGTATATAGGTGAATGTTTAGTATAGAATGGCAAAATGATCTTCAAAAAATTGATTGTTCTATAATGATTCTTAAAGAGTGTGCAATATATTTTGATGACAAGAAGGGTATATTTATTTATACATGGAAAGATGCAACTGCTCATTTCCACATATCAATACAGAAACTCTAAGTCATCTGCCACCATCTTCTCAAAAAAAATATTAAGTACTACAGCAATTGCAGTGTTCAATGTCTTTAAGCTGGACAATTCGGCAAATGTGTTTATGTATAAACAGTTTTGCTTCTGGAACAGATTTCAATAGACAATCTGTAGAAGATGGGCAAATGACTTGCTAACCGAATATACACCTTTACTTCTTTGTTAATAAAATTGATATACTTTTTTATATTAAAAGGCATATCATGAAAATTCCACTGATTTTTCAGTGCTCAATATTCAGGTTTTTAATGAATATCCATAACATTGTACAGAGGTTGTAACTTACTGAGGTTGCTCAAGTCTTAGAGGTATATTGTCTTAACCAGATGAATTATATGCATAGCGATAATACTGTTTATTTTTTATAACTTTTAAAAAAATATTTTGAGTATTTACATTGTAAAACTTATCTCTATCATATATCATAACTTTTTATATAAAACACTACGAATTAAAAATACATAAAAGATCTTTGCTCTTATGGTTTGTTTGATAGAGAACTTTCATGGAGCATTCAAAATATGATTCATATCATACCAAAGACCATGAACCAAAAGGCTCAAAGGAGTCACACTTTTTCTTGTATTAAAGTTTTTTGTATTGTGTTTTACGTGAATAAGCGGAAGTGGTGCATAAGGTGCTAAATTAAGAATACCACTTTTAAAAAAATCAGCAGTACATCATTCTATATCCAAGAAAAGTGAAATCAAAATGTTAGGATCTAAGCTTACCAAATCCACTCCAAAGGATTGCAAACGTTATGATCATTCTTCATGTCCTGGATGCAAACCAGCAAATTGTTGCAGTCGTGCTTTAAATCTCTGCAAAGCAGATTTGTTTTTCTGAAATTAAGATAACAGTTTTCTGTAAAATTGCCATTGTTTCTTACAATAAATTTGGACCATTTAAGTCTGAATAAAATACCTGATTATCTAAGTAGTCTTCGATGAAGTCTTCAGGGATATGTGGCAGAGGAGGGACGCTTAATACTGATGGACCTAGTCAGCAAGAAATAAATCAACTCTTTTAATGTAAATAAATTAATCAAAAAACAACATGAAAAGTAGACACAATCTTTAGATAAAAATAGAAATGATTAATGTTAGTATTTAATACCAAACATGGATGTCAAAGATTCCTCATACAACATAATAACTTCAAGTGCATCTTCTTCTTCTACACGGCTTTTAAGACAAAGTCTGGCATGACTTTCTGCCATTGATATTCTACAAATGTTTACACATGAAATAATTTATGAAGCCACTATATTCATTTGTCAAAAAATTAAACCAGCACGATTACAAACTTGCCAGCTGTGAAGGTAAGAAAAAACCTGTACAATTTTTTTGTTCATCACAGGTGAATTGATTTTCTCCCTACAATATATAAACTTTTTTTGAATGTATTCTAATTGTACAATTACTCACAGTGCCGATAAAGTACCAGACGTTATAATGCTGCCATTAGACACGTTTCTAACTTTCCGTGTTGCAAGGTAATATCCATGAAGAAGTTTTTCAGCTTCTTGTGTCATTCTCACAGTAAGATTTTGGGAATGCTTTAAAAACTGGAAAACAATTTTGTTTATATTCAAATACAAAGTCAAATAAATGATAAACTTGGCGATTTTTAAAAATAATTTAAAAGAATGTTTGGAAAGAAAACATTTATATTCTAAGTTTGATATATTTGTTAATCCTTTATAAATCCTTGCATTACATGCTGACTCTTGGCTCATGCATGTTTGATAAATGTAAGTATTATAATTTAGCAATGACCTGCTCCAAAAACATTCACCTATTCACTCATCCAGAAAATGTTGGTCAGATCCAGCATCCGAAAAGAAAGGCTTGTACAATTTATTCCTAGATGCATTTCCCATGTAATTCTAATTATAATAGATGGGTAAATACTTATATATCTAAAGAGATAATTGAATGCACATAGCACTTATGGTTATGTTGGAATGGACTTGCTCCTAAACCCTGAACTGGAATGCCAATGACAACGGTGTAGCATACATGTAAGCTCATCTCGACTATGATAAGATAAGTACAAAATTGGATTTACCTTCTCAATATCATTGAAAGACACTGGAAAATGGAAATCCTTCTCTGCCCCTCTCATTGACATTTTCAGGGTTTGGTAAGAAGTGTGGAAATTCACTTCCTCACTGTGTGAGAACTCATCCCCATCTACGATCTGAACAATGCTGAAAGCTCTGATAAAATATTGAGTTGTTTATTAAAATTCCTAAATCTTCTTATAACCAAGTTCATCGTCAGTATTTTGAACCAAAACTTTCTTCAATTGTACTTTTTGTCCCTTTAAGAATATTTTATCAAAGTTGAGATAATGGATGAAGACCTGTATTAATGCCCAGTGAGCAGTGCTGCGCCAAATCTACGACTACACCGTGAAATCACTGCTTATAATGTCAAACAATACAATGTAGCAATCAAACATAACAACTCCAACCTATTTCAACAATTTTTCATGAAAAAACAATACCTTAAAATAATAGGTTTTTAAATTGCTGACATCTTACTCTGAAAAGGCTCTCGTCAAAGAGCTTGTTTCTCCATCACCAAGAATTTCTTCCTTAAGCCTTTTCTGGTTTATCTTGTCAGTATAGGCCCATACACTACACTGTAATGGTTGCTCAATGGATACAGCCAGGCCTTTTGTGAATTTACTGTCTATATCAATCAGCACTTTTCCACTGGATAATGCTGAAAATTGTTTTCAAAAATATTTACAATAAAATACCAAAATTCATTCTCTAATAATACCATTAATTAAGTTCTTATAACCACTCTTTGAATTAAGAGTGAATTAAGAAATATTTAAATAATATCTTACCAGACTGAAGTTTTTCAAAGGTTTGCTTTTTGAATTTGCTGACGTCTCCTAGGTAGCAAATGCCATCACTTGCTAACATCAGTGTACCTCCTAAATTCAAAAACATGATACTCATTTTTTTTTTAAACTAATGCTTTAAATTCAACTACTGTTATGTACAACTATCTTTCAGACAAGCTAATATTTACCTTCAATTAAATAATCGGAACTGTTGTATCTGTCTGGAATAATCTTGGCTACAAGATGGTTTCCACAGGAAAATACCAAACTCCTTTTAGTAAATTGCACAGAATACTGGAGCAACCTGTGTAGCATTTCTGTGTCTTTACCAATGGCTAGTATGTGTACTGGTTGAACCTGTGAAACAATTGGTGTACAGTGTACATACATGCCAGGTTTTTCCCAGAAAAAAGGGAAAACTTTATATTCTATACACTATCCGAACAAAATTGTTCTTTATGGCATCTTTGAAAATTATTTTCTTTCTTTTCTTTAAATTGTATTACTAGATTTTAATGGCATGCGTATATATACATCATTTAAATGGTATTAAATATCTCTGCCGCAATTTTCTTCACTTTGAGAAAAAAATGCATTGCCAATACAATTTTCTTTGTTACTGGGGTTTCCGTAAATCCTAAGTGAAAAAATTAACGCTCATAAAACTCTATGATACCAAAGTATCATATAATATTGTATTGATTGTATTGAATCGTGCAAGACTCCTGTAAACATCGCGCACAAAGGAATCGAATCCATATACCTGTGTCTTAGATCGGGCTTGTAAATAACACAAAAAGACTAGTTGTCCATTGTTAGAGGTGTTTGCATGACCAAAATTATGACGACAAACTGAAAAGTCAGGATTTTGCCGTCACATGAGAACAAGTGTTACATTCGAAGATTGAATGTTGCAAAACGCCATATGTCTATGGTATTTCCGAGATGAGCCCTTCGCCTAATTGAAAATCGAATGTAGTTCGAATTTTTTAGTTGATCTTTTTGTTTTCAAAATTCTCCTATAACACAGGCAATCAAAAATGACGAAGGTCAATTAAAACTTCTTCGCTAGCCAAATTTGATAATCTACTCTTCTTCACTCTACAGAAGAGCGAATCATCACCTTTGGCTTAAAGTGTCAATACTGGTAGTTTAGTAATGGACCAACTCAAATACTTAAATTGGGGATGCAGATGGTGAGTATAGGCATTAACTCAGACATCTCACGTTTCTTGAGGTGCGCGATTGAATAAAAATCTACATTTACAATTGTACTATTAAAAAGCTCTAATGTTATATAATTTGCACAATTGTACAATGATCTATATACATGCATAAACCTTTTGTAAGCTTCTCAAGTTTTTCTGTAACATTTTTAATGCCTTTTAAACTCAATTTCGTGAGGCTAACAGCAACATTTTTCTATTCATGATTTTAGATACGATCTCTTCCGTTTCTTAACAATTAACAAGGGTTACTCTCAGAGAAGAATTTCTGTCTCAATGTGTGTCATTTTTAATACAGACAGAGACTGTTATTAACTAAAAAGAGACCACAAGCATATAAGAATAACACAGTTGGAAGCTGTACACGTGTGTCAGCTGGGTGATGGTCAGGACAGGCGATATACTAGTTAAGCATTGAATTCATATTTTTGGCTGTCTTCGGTCCTATAACACACCTGGCCGTGCCGACAAATTGAAAACCGCGCGTTAGCGCGGTATGATAAATTTGTCGGCACGGCCAGGTGTGTTATAGGACCGAAGACAGCCAAAAATATGAATTCAATGCTTATATTTACATTCTCTAATTTCCCTTCTTCATAATTGATTATTTCGTCAACATTTAATGTGAAATTAGCGCCCTTCAAAACTAACGTGGTTAATAGAAGTAAGAGCCGTTTGTGACGTCAGATGACGTTAAGTGACGTTGCAAAGTTACATTACGCAAACAAACATTGCGATTAAAAAAGTGACAAATTAATTCTTAACGCACATTACGTTGATTTCTACGTTAATTTTTCAGGGTTGTAGTTTTTCATTAAATTGAAATAAGACATTTTACATTTTGGTGTTTCTAGAGTATTGAAAATGCATATAGTTCTTACTGTGTATTCTAACGCGCGGTGACAAGGGGCGCTTTCCATTAAACAGGCAACGCCGGATTTGCCGATGTTGCCGCCGACGCCGGATAATGGAACGCGCGTTGCCGGCAAGCAATTGCGGTCACGCATTTTACCATTGCCGATTCAGAAACAATATGGCGTCGTGTCATCGAGAGGAGGCTTACAGATACTACAAAACGGCGATTTCTTCCTTAGACTCTGATAAACTACAACGTCAGTGCATAAAAATTAATTACGGAGTACACCCACCAACAAATAACAGGATAAGTATCCGTTTATAGTTAATTCTATATGATTTTTTTAATTGAACATGTAAAGTACAACTACTCCGAATTTTCTCCACACATATAGAATAAACAGTTATTTATGTACATCCTTTTGTAATTAAACGCAAACTGCATGATAAGTATTCCCACCTTTTTACGTCATATTTGACTGCTTATTGCGTCATATCACCTGTCTGGATAAAGAATATAGTCTTTTACTTTTTATCTGTCTGTTGACGATGGCCTCTCTTGAGCTTCTGCATTGCCCTGGATGCAATTCGTTATTTTTATCATTATCTCACTTTAATCAGCATAATTGCCAAGTAAATTCGCCAGTACAACCCCTCATTCTTAAGGACAACATGACCACTGTGTACAGGTATTTTATTTGCAAGTCTTGAGTTAACATTTTTTTATTCACAGTTACTGTTAGATAGAATGTTCTATCATTAAAATTATAATTATCCTATGGACCCGGTTTAACTTTTGCTACATTGCAAGTATACATATTGGTGGTATTCTAACTGTGGTGAGGGCTTGTCCTGAGAGTGAGACACAGTTAGATTATTATAGATTATATTATTAGTGACTGTACGTACAAAGTAAGTAAAAGTTCACACACTAAAAAAGAAAAGGTATGTTCACATTGTAATTAAAATAATCACAGAAGATTTAATTTATAAATTTTTCTGCATATTTAATCATCAGTATGCAGATTTTCAATGATATGTTTTATTTAATTAAGATATGAAATTTTGTGCATCAATAAGAATGATAGGAATTAAACACTACTCATGCTACTAGGGATAACAAGAATTTAGAAGGTTCAAAATTTTTAAATACCATTCTAGTTTTCAGTATATTTGCAGGGAAGAAGAACCACATCATGGACAGGGGGCTGCTTGTCAGCCAGTACACAAAGCTGCAACAAGCACTGTTGCAATTGTACATGGTAAGTAAACAAATC